CCTGCAATATTTTGATCTGAATGCAAACAATAGCTTTAGAAAAGAAATATTTTCAAAGATCATTCTGCCAGGGTTGGATTGTAACTAAATACTGTAATTGTACTTAAAGACCAGTCTGGAAATAATTAATTTACTGTATTTTACTTTCAATAACCAACAAGCTAATCTTTGCTCCTGTGCAGCTTGTTTTAGAATAGAGGCTTGTGAAACTGTAGGCTTAAATGTATTTAAATTGTTTTTGTGTTTACAGTTACTTGTCTATATGGTATTGCTTTACATAAACTTAAAGCAACAAAGTAAATGGAATTGTCTTAAGCCTTTTTTAACAGGGTACCTGCCTGGTATCACTTAAAATCCACTTCATCTCTGTTCTTTTTACACTTATACAGGTAGTTGTTAGTATCAACTCTAGCAACATTCCTTCTGTTTGAAGACCAAACTTTTGTTAGCCTGAGTTGCCAATATTGCCAAAGTGATAAAAGCAAACTGTTAAGTAACTAAAGATGCAACCCCAGCCTTATATTTATTCTTCATCTCTATTACCCTCAGTGCCACTTGTATGCAGAGCTGTATGCGTAGCAGTGGCTTAACCTGTGGTCCATTAAATTGTCTAATTGTGATAACAAATTGTTAACCTTTGCCTGTTAAACGAACACTTGCTCAAAAGCCCATGTTCCTTAAGGAGGAATAAAACTGGTCTAACGTTAAGCCTGCCAATTAAGAGTTGTGCAGTACTTAGAGTTCATAAGCGTTTCAAAGAGCCCTTTAGCCTGGCTTGATTTTTATCTAAGAGTATACTTTTTTAAACTTTTCTATATCTTGAAGGATAAATGCCTTCATTGAACAAGAAGTGCAGAGAAGGCTCCAGAATATTCATCATAAAGCTGAGGATAATGATGTTAGCCTGTCTTGGTCTACAGAAGGTTTAAAGGTGAGCAGAGACGTGTGGGAAATCCTGACCTTCAATGCACCATGTGTAACCACTGATTTAGTTTTGTTGTTCAGTAATTTTCATGTTTTCCTATGTTTACTTAATTTCAATTTACCAAAAAAGTAAACAGTAAATTAGGGTTATCAGTCTTGGATTTTGCTCGTCATTTTTTTTCCGAGTGGCTGTTTTATGTTGTATTCCATTTGTTTTTCAGGTAAGAGTATGTAAAATGCCAATAGTAAGCTTGCAGATAAAAGAAAAATCTTCATTTTATGTTTCTAAAATGCATGATAAAATTCCATCCATAAGAAGGGTAATTGTTTATACTTGCAAATAAATGCTCATTTAAAAACTGGTGATCTAATTCATCCAAAGACTGGGTTGATTGACTTTTAAGCCAGTAGTTTATTAAATATCAATAAGAAAATAGTTATTTTGGGCTATCAAAAAGCATGTCTCTTCCTATAAATGCTTTTACATGAGCTTATACAAGAAAGGCACTCTCTTTAGTAATCACCTGTACCTTTTTTTGTTCTTAGGATAATGAGAGGCTTAATAATGGCACTGTTCAACGCAAGCTGAAGTATGAGGTAGGTCATAATTTGTCAGAATGAAATGGTTGTCTTAAATTATGGCATGCCCTGTAATTAAATTTCTTAATGTTTAGCTGCATAATTAGAATTTTGAATTCACAGCAAGATTAATGGCTAAGAGAGACAGCAATGTATTTTGCCAGCTGGAATGAAAGTGATTTTTTTCAGATTGGGCATAGCTTTCTTCTTATTTGAAAGATGCAGTGTTATTGTGGATGTTTCTTCCACGTTTTGTCGTGATTCTTAGTTTGGAACAGTATCCTTTTCCTGATTTTTAGAAGATAAAAGCATTTAATGAGGAGAGATTGTCTGAATTCAGAATACCACTTCACATTTTTTGACTCTCAGTGAACTCACTACTGTAAGGGTGTCTATAATATTATCAAGTAGCATCGGGCAAATTTGCTTATGGCATGAAAGATTCATACGTGTATTTTTAAACTGAGGCTTAGACCCCTCATACTGTATTTGGTTGCCTAACTTTTGCTTGAGCTATGGTTAAGTACTTGTCTTGGTGAGTAAATCCTAAATACCTTTATGGATTTAAACCTTAATAGTAGGAGGGCTGCTACAGCTCTAATTTGGACTCCTTTGGACATTTTTATACTGTCATTTTTAAACTGTGTTAGACTTATTACACTATCTTGAATAGTATAGGACTACTTTTTTGTGCACGTGTGGAAAAATAATAAAGGGCTTATAAATTTCTGCATCACCCTTTGACTTTCCTGTGGTTTTTGAGTAAAGCAAATATAAACCAAGTGAAATGGATACTGTACAAAGAAAAAGCAGTGGTGGGCTGTGGGAAGATCAATCATTCCTGAATCAGACCTCAATCACTTCTGTCGGATTTTCTCTCTAATTTTGAGAGATTGTACAATGATTGTACCAACTTTGAATGATTATACAAACCTGATAAAAATCAATCCTCAATTTAAGAGATGTTTTATAAACATCAGAAGATTTTATAAGACGTTTCTATTTTCTTCTTTTGAAACTTTTAACAGAAAAGTCAACAGTGCCAGCCACATTATGGCTTTCCATTTATGTCTAAAGATGGCAATTGTGCTTCTGAGTTGTGTGGAGAAAACGCAGGAGTAAGAGACCATAAAAGACAGAAGGAATATACAGAGATGTGGGATTTATTTTCCAGTTCTGGAAGAATCTCCTCCCCTTTTACATCAGAGAAGGCATTTGAGAATGGAAGGAGTAATTCGGAACAGGAGAGCTTTGCTTGTCGTTGTGACATTGAAAGTAGTTTAATTCACTCTAAAAATATTAATACTTTAAAGAGTAAGAATGTTCTTTATCAGAATGTTTTATCTACTTCTTTACAAAGTCATGACTTAAATAACGTGGCTTATTCGCTCTGCAAGGTTGAAAATTTCAATCATTTTGATGATAAAATAACGACTTCTCAGGATTGTGACAGCTCAAGAACTGAATCTGATTGTTCCCACTTGAAACAGCTGTCTCCTGTAGAATCCTTAATGGGTGCTAATGAGCAGGCTGGCTTTAACAGCATATCGTGCTTTCTCTTTTCTCAGTCTAATGTGCATTCTGAAATAATAACTTGTAAAGAAAACAGCCCATTTAAGACAGCGCACCCGACAATTGAAGACCAGTCTAGTAATTCTCAGCTTCCTACACAAAAAGCCTCTGATTTGGTTTCTTTTAAGTCAATAGCCTCTCGTTTTGACGTGAGACCAGAACATACTTATGGTTTGGGATATCTTTTCAGTAAGCTTTTCTGCCTTTACAAAGATACCAGTAGTCAGCTGCTCAACAATATGGTGGTTTCTAAACAAATCAAGGAGTTGGGAAGTTTGTGTGACAGAAGTGAGAGATGCGCACAAGCGGTATCATTAATAAAAAATCTGCCACTTCTAAGAAACTGGCAAGTAAATGTATTCTTCAAGTCAGATATGAATCAAGACATGTCCCACTCTACTGATGATGCCAAAGCTCATACTGAAAATGTCGTTCAGCCTGAATCCCCTGTGCAAGACCCTATCACAATGTGCGTGAGCACCGAAAACTCTGATACCTGTGTGAGAAAGCCCTCTGAAGGATTTGCATGCTGTTGTAAAAATGAAGAACTGGAAAACAGTCTTGTGTTAAGACAGAAATTTGTACATTTTCCTGATATCTTTTTGAAGCTTCAGGTCTGTTCTCTGGAAAAAGTGCTGGAATTTTTGACCTGTGCCTTACCTCAAATTTGTATTAGAATGGAGGAGTTAAAAGGCATATATTGGCTCACTGTTGGCAATTGCAGAAAACCTGATCCAGAACCTGCTTGCTTGCTTTTGTTCAGCTCCGTTCTGTATGTTGTTGTTTCCTCAGTCGAACAAGACAGCTGCCAGAGTTCCTTGGCAATGTTTCTTGAGGTTCCCATCTTCACAATAAAGGAGATTCAAGTTGGTTTTGCTGGACAGAGTATTAGTCTTCTGTGTTCTGCTGAAGATGGCTTACTCACAATATTTACCTATAACAAACACTTCACTCAAAGAATTTGCCATGACATAACAAGTGTTTTGATTTCTACAATGGATGATGCTGTTTATTTAAATCACCAGCTCTTGAAAGATGATTTGATGCAGATTTCCCTTGACTGGACATCAGAAGTAAATGACTTAGTTTTTTCAAATGGAGTACGATTGTCCTGTAAATTCAGAACTCTCTTAGCTGATCTGGTTTACTTACTCCATGAAAATATGGGAAATATTAAACCTTCATTAGGTGACATTCAGGTACTGCTATATACAACAGTGAAAATAGACTGTGCTAAGCAGACTGTGTATAGATCTCTAGTTCTTACAACTACTCATATAGGTCTCTTAAGGGAAAATAATGTCTTTTATCCTGCACCTAACTTTTTGGATGCTTCATGCCAGCGATCACAATTTGACAGCCTTCAGTTGTACAGTTTGAATGATATCCGATGTGTAGTTTTGCCAGACAAAGAGAATTTCACAAAAATTGAGCTTGTGTTTTCTAGAAGGAGCAAGGTTGGATCTGATTCAGGAATTGGTTTTTCTAAATACTGTGAAAAAGAAATAAATACTCAACTGACAGTCATCCCATCACTTCTTCAAAGTGGTTTGCATATCCCTTCAGAAATCTGGAATTTAACATTCAGTTCAAGTGAAGAAGCCATTTGGCTAATTATGCATCTGACTAGGTGTTGAAAACCAAATACGTTTAGATACATTCAAAATAAGAGGCTAATGAATATTGATAAAATCCTTTTTTTTTTTTTTTTTTTTTTTTTTAACAATTGGCAAGAGTGTCCTTTGAGCCTGTAGAGGTACACACATCTTAGCAAAAATCATTATTGTGTGCTTACTTTTTGTGGGTCCTTAATATGCTGTACATAAATTTCCTTGGGAAAGTGAGGAAATTAAATGTTTCTGTCTTATAATTTTGATCCACCTACTACATAATTACAGATGTGTCTTCTAGTTTCCATTTTGGCTGTTGTTTCTGGTTCCCTCCATCTCCTATCTGTCTTCATTAATGTCTTCTCCATTCCTTCTGGATTGACTTTTCCTTAATTTTTCTGAGTATCTTTGAATTTTGTGCTTCTCATCTGTTTCATGCCCTTGATCTCAATATTTCAATACACCTGCAATATTTTTTTTGTCTGAACCATAAGTTGTGTTTAGGTTCCTATGGGTACGTTCATTGTATGCTCTTAATACTAAGGATTTTTATAGCTTTTATACTTCCAACTTTGGGAACAACTGCATCGACAATTCTTTTCTGCTTTGGAGTTTTGCATTAAGGATTATTGCACTCTTGCATTAAAGTTTGTCAAAAGTGAAAAAGGAGTTGTGTTTGGCTTATTCTAAGCGTGTTGGCTGAGTTACCAGGAATTGATGGATTTGCCATATCTCTTTTCCCCTGCGTTTGCCCCCTTTGTCTAGAGCTGAGACACGTATGCTATGTGGAAGCGGTGAAACAGAACGAGAAAAATGTAGAGAACATCCAGTACCCCTTTCTTACAGGGAAGCAATGCGTGGCTTTAAGTCATTCGTGGTTAAAGGGTGTAAACAGACATTGCTTGTGCTTTATATAGCATTTGGACCTTTGGTCATGGTACTGTACCTGTGGCAAGACAAACGTTTTGGGGTTTATAATCTGTGTACAAGTTTCTCATGCTGTTAAATGGATAGTTAGCAACTGAGGATACTGCCTGGCAGATGGAGTAAATTTATCCCTAGAGTTCCCGGCATGTAATGTGCCCCCTTTTCTGCTTGCTTCTTAATGGGGTTGGTGATGCTGTGAGATTGCATCTCTTACAGTCTCTTTAAAATTACATTCCAAGATATAATGGAACTATTGAACATTAGTAAAAGATTTCCATTAGTTGGGACCTGCCTTTAGCTTAGTACAAGGTCATTCTTTATCTGTCACCCCTGTCAGATGTCAAATAATAAATAAGCTGTTGTCTCTCATCTTTTGTTTCTTCACTTGTAAAGGGAGCTGAATACCTTTTGAATCCTGTTGCTTGAATGTGCCATCTGCCTTGCTTGAGGAAGATGATCCTTGGCAGAAAAAACAGTGGTATCTAATCTGAAATTCTAAATTCTGCAAGCATATTGCCAGTAGAGGTGCAATGTTCTACTAGACAGAGTTAGACTTCAGTCTCTCTACTAGTATAAGAACATTTCCCATTTGTTCTTACCATATGTTAAGACAGGGTAATGTAATTCACGTGGGATTTAAAAAGAAATAACTTGTATTGGATGGGGAAGTTGTGTCTGGAAGGATGAATGCTGGTTTGGATAGAGAATTATGTTTTTTTTAATCATAACAAAAATTTCTGCTACCATAAGGAAGTCCAAAGATGAGCAAAATGTGTCATGTTATTCTGAGGTATGGCTTTTGTTTTTAACAAAAAAGTATACACAAATATCTTGCAGAACATGGAGCAGATGGAGTAGTTATGAGTTGGAGCATAACCTCGTGTCAGTCCAGTCCACGGGTGGCTCCCTCATTGACATCACCAAGGCATTTCTTCTGAGCCTTGAGAAAAGTTAACGCAAAGTGGCACTATTTGGGAGGACTGTCTTAATCACAGCTGTTAAGTGACAGCAATTTCTGCAAATAATTCCTTTTCAGATTATACCCCAAAGTTAAATGTTTGTGCATGTTGTGTTCCAGATAACACGGTTTTCCTATTTTGTGTTTCTTTTCAAATCTATCTTGATGAATATTCTGCACTTTTGTGAAAAAATGACTTCACAGCAATATCTTTTTTTTTTTCTAAGGTAAATGAAATGTAACATAATGATCGATGTTTATGACCATCAAAGCATTATTTAATGTATTAGGGTGCGTTTTTCCCGGTACTTCGTGTTTGAGATTATTTTCCTCTCTGACTATTAGCTGTTTGTAATAGCTGTCTGAAAAGGACTGCCAATAAATTACGTGTTGACAGAGGTGGCTTTAAGAGTGACTTTATAGTT